CTAAAATCTTAAGGTGCCTTCTCTGCTCCTGTACTTACGGCGTCTCGCGTCTCTTCCTCCTTCCTCCTCGACTCCTAGGCGGGTGGTCTCTTATTTTGGTAAAGGAGGTGTGAGGACATGGACCAACCAGGAAGGGCGGGGTCTGCGGGGGTGATCTCGATTGGAAGTGCGACAAGGGCGAGCACTTGAGCCCTGAGGACTCCCTGGGGAGGAGGGCGCAGCCTACCGAATGGTACCCTAGTGGTCCCCTGCTCAGAGGTTGGGCACTGGTGGAGGGTGAGCCCAGAGCTGGGAACCCCAGCCCGATGGAATCTGCATGGTGGAAAGCCGACTAAGGCAATAGACCACCAGCTCAAACTACAAAAAAAGAAGCACTCACTGCTATTAGTCGCACTTCCAATCCAGATCACCTGCAGACCCTGCCCTTCCTGCCGCCCCACTAAGCCACCAGGTCCCCAAAAGTCTCAATGCATTACAAAGAGGGAAGTCCTGTAAAGTGTCTTCTCCGGCCACAACAGAAGGTAATTAGTAATGACTAACCGAACAACTGAAAACGCACAAACAGGAGTGGAAACCATGCGTGGTCTATGAAACAACCAAGGGGCTACGGAAGAAACCAAGAGAGAAAGCAGAAAAGACTCGGAATCCAGATGGATTGTGGTGATGATTGTATGAGTTTTGAATTATTGAAGAGTATGATATTTGACTTGTGTGTCAACAAAACCGTGGGGGAGGGGGTGGGCGGGAAAGACTGGGAATCAAGTGAGAATGAAGCACAACCTGCCAATTTTTATGGGGTGCAGTGAAGTGTGCTCAACGACCACATGAAAAACGATGAAAGGTCCCCAAAGCAGCAGCGAGGATCTGTGCTGGGAACAGCCCCAAGCAGGCATGGGTGTCAGGAACAGAGCCATAGACCCTAGGTGTCCGGTATAGGCTCTAGGTCAGCAGTTCTCAACCTGTGGGTAGCGACCCCCTGGGGGGGGTACCCGACCCTTCCACAAGGGTCGCCTGATTCATAACAGTAGCAAAATTATAGTGATGAAGTAGCAACGAAAGTAATTTTATGGTGGGGGGGTGTCACCACAACTGTATTAAAGGGTGGCATCGTTAGGAAGGTTGAGAACCACTGCTGTAGGTAAACTATGTGGGCGCAGGATGAAGAGGAGCTCCCTATTTTCCCACTCTGCCTTTTTTCTTATAAATTCACTTTAGATGCAGCTGACAGCAAATCACGTCGAATGACCTTTAATAAGGTAGCTGTCACGGGTCCATCTGTGTCTTCCTATCGATGAAGATGTTCTCTGACCTCGTCAAGGTGTGAACAGTTCCCACCTCGCCAGTCAAGCCTTGCTCAAAGTCTACTTATTTCTTACCTTCCAAATGAAAACTATTCCCACCCAAATGTTCTTCAGAATGAATAAGATGCCTAACTCAAGTCTCTTCCATTTACCATTTATACTGCCATTCCGCTCCTATGCAGAGGGCCCAAACCAAATAGACAGGTAAATAGATAAACTCATTTACCTGAAATATATATATATAAAAGAATTTATGGATTCCTGTAAGCACAAGATTAACAGACTACAATCCAAGTCTGGCACACAGACCATTTGCGTGTGACCCTTGAGCTAAGAATGGTTTTTGTATTTAAAAAATACAGTATAATAAAATAATTTAAATATACACAAAGAAGAACACGTGACAGAGCATGTGGCCCTCAAAGCCTAAAATATGTACCGTCCGACCCTTTACAGGCAGTGTTTGCTGAGCAACCCTTGTTAAGCAGTGGACTAAAGACAGCATGGGCGAGACTACTGACTGTCCCTCTCACTCCATCCTGCCTTTGTTCCAGAAGGAAAAGCGATCACCAAATGCTTGCAGGGCCTGTGGTTGGTTGCCAGGTAGAGTCTACATTGTTCAGCTTCTGTCGCCTCCAGTTGTGGCCAAGTGACTACGTGCTGGCCAGGGATTTGACAGAAATGGTGTGTGTAATTCCCACATATCCTTTAGAGGGGAGCTGCTTGATTCTGCTCTCTGTTCCCTGTTCCTACAACCCGGACAGGACAAAGTGCTGGGGAGCGTTCGTGATGGATGGCCTCAGAGAGCAAAAAGATAGAAAGAACATGGGGCCCTAAAAAAAAACCCTCATGTGGCAGAGCCTCCTGCTACTTCGGAGAGAGAGAAAAGAAATGTTCTCTTCTTCCGGTCACTGTTTTAGGGGTCCCTTTGTTACAGCAGTCAAGCCTGACCCTAACTCATCGAGGCTGGCCTAGCACAATGGAATGACCACCTCCTTCGGCTCATCTCTCCTTCGTTCTCTTTGCAGCTTTGAATTTGATCTACATTCTTGTCTCTTGCCGAAATGTGTGTCTCAGACTCACGTCCAAGAGGAAAAAGGACTTGCCCTCCTCGTCCGCTTTCAGACAAAGATCTGGGGAAGAATTCTGATTGGCCTAGCTTGATACACCTGCTCCTGCAGCAGTGGTTCTCAGCCAAGGCCATCCCCACTCCTCCCTCGGCATGTCCGGCCAGGTGAGCTTGTGTTTGGTTGCCACGACTGAAGGTTGATGGACATCTAGTGGGTAGAGGCAGGGATGCTGCGAAACGTCCTACAGGGACAAGACAGCCCCTCACGGTTCCCCCAACTGACTCATTTGAAACTCAATTTCAATAAAGCCGAGGTCGAGAAACCATGTTTTGGACCAATTTCATTAAGCCCTTGCGAGTTATACAGACTGCGTCATCAGCCCAGTCTCAATCACCATCAGCTCTTGCCTGGATGCCTGCCCTAATCGAACAACTCCCCTCAAGTCTAGGCTTCCCTGGCGGTCTTTCTACACAGCAGCCAGAGGAGCCCTGTTCAAACCTGACTGCGGCCTGGCCCTTCTCTGCTCAGAATGCTCCAGTGCGCTTTTCATTTAACTCAGAGGGAACGCCTAGTCTTTAGTCACCTACCAGGCCTCACCTACCAGGCCCTGCATGGTCTGGGGGTCTGCACCCCCATTTCCTCTCAGCCTCTCAGCCCACCTCTCTGCTCCTCCTGGAATGTGCCAAGTATGCTCCTGTCTCGGGGCGGCGGCACTGACGGTTCATCTGCCCAAGAGTCCCTGCCGCGGCAGGAAGCCACGGGTTTGCTTCCTTGTGTCTTTCAGGGCTCTGTTCCCCTGTCTCCTAATCATGAAGAAATCTTCCTGACACCTTGTGTCACATGCACACCTACCCCCCTCTCCTATCTCCTTCACAGTTCTTCCCCTCCCCCCACCCGAGTTGTCACCATTTCATAGACTATAGATGTGTTTATTATCTGTCACTCGCCACCCACTGAAACGTCAGCAACCTTCAGAGACCTGGTCATTTTTGTTCATCGCTAGTCCTCAGGGCTGTGATAGTACCTGGCACCCAGGATTGTCTCAGATGATGTTTGCTGGGTGAGTGAATCTCTGTGGCCATGGGAATGAGGCGGAGTGGGTTACCCAATAAGCCAGGTAATCTTACTCATCTGTGAAGACAGTCAGCCTTAGTAAACCTGTGCTTACCTTGCTTACTGGCCGTTCCATCCCTGAGAATGTTGGCAAATGGAAAAAGAGGCTTTGAATCTGTCAGAAGGTGCTATGGGATTGGATGAGAGACAGATGCCAGCCAGACCTGGAAGGACAGTCTTTGATGGGGGGAGCGCGCAAAGGGGAGCAGGCAGAATGACATTGTTCCCTACAGATTAGTAATGAAGCCCATACTCACCTTGCTTATTAGATACTCAGGCCCTAGGCTGAGGTATGGGGCATGACAGCTGGCCCTAGAAGAATCCCATGGTTAGAAGGAGGGTGGGTGGAGCAGATGGTCCCAAGAAACTGGGCATTGTAAGCACTAAGCACAGACTGAGGACCCCCGGTGGGGCAGTTGCTATGAGTCGGCCTCCTCCACCGGCTGGCAGCAGTGACGTTTCGTTTTAGTTTAGGCATGGACAGGGCTGCTGGAAGGACCGTTGAGAGCCGAGACCCACCCCCACCCCCCAGTCCTGTGTGTTCTGCTGTGAGCACATCAGTGTATTCCGAAGGTCTCGCACTTGTACATACATTGATTCTGCCCACACCTGGGCGAGGTAGCCATTATGCCTGCCACTTTCAGGGGAGGAAACTAAGGTTTGGAGAGGCTAGGTAGGACCTGAAGTGCACACGAGGAATTAGGGCAGCGTTCCTTCCTTGCATTCACCAAATGGCACACCAACCCCACCAAATGGCACACCAACCCCAGCCCCCACTTTCTCCCCTTTCCCCAGGAATCCCCCCCCATCCAGCGAGTGAGAGAAGGCAGCGGGGATTTCTCCTCCCTATCCATCCACTCCAGGGCAGGCTGGGCAGGGCAGTCCTTGCCCTGCCAGGGGGAGGGCTAGCAGGGAGTGTTTGTAGCAGCTGCTGTTTCCAAGGAGAGGGGACGAAAGCAGTGGAGAGACAGCCAGCAGGCTTCTCCACCAGCAGGGCTGGCTGGCTGGCCCGCTTGACCTGTCCAGCCCTGGGGGGAGAGGTGTGCCCTCACCTCCATCCTCCACTGGCCTGGGAGGTGGTGAACTCTTCATGGACTGGGCATCCAGAGGGTGAGGTCGCTGCAGGGTCAGAAGGCTGGGAGCAGCAGGACAGGCCCTGAGGAATGTGGGGGGTTGGAGGCTGGGCCTGGCCAGGGGCCTGAAGCTGGAGGCAAGTCTCAGAGCCTGAAGTCCTGGGTGGAAGGGGAACCCAGAGGAGCCTGGGAGCAGCCGGGATCAAGACCCAGCAGGTGGCGAGCGTGGAGACCAGTAGTGGGAGAGAAGAGGTGTCCTCCTCCTCTCTGGTTGATGGTGGAGCCATGTTCCAGCCCAAGGCGCTCAGGAGGAGGCCTGGGACCCCCGAGCCCCCTGTGCGCAGCATCCGGCCCTTTAAGTCCAGTGAGCACTACCTGGAAGCCATGAAGGAGGACTTGGCTGAGTGGCTGCGGGATCTCTACGGCCTAGACATAGACAGGGCCAACTTCCTGCCCATGCTGGAGACGGGCCTGGTGCTGTGCCGGCACGCCAACACTGTCACCAAGGCCGCCTTGGCCTTCCTGGCTGAGGCACCTGTCCAAGCCCAAAGGATTCCTGTGCCCCGGGCCGGAGTTTCCTGCAATGGGGCCGCCCAGCCGGGCACCTTCCAGGCACGGGACAATGTCTCCAACTTCATCCAGTGGTGTCGTAAGGAGATGGGCATCCAAGGTAACCACCCTTGATTCTCCCTTCTCCCTTCTGTCACTGGTGGGGACAACCTGGGCCTTCCTTCCAGATCCCCCTTGGGCCAGCTCATCGATTTTCATGCCTCAGTTGCTCCATCTCATACTAAACCCTTACTACTAATAATTTTTAAAAATTTCACCACCATTGAGTTGATTCTGACTCATAGCGACCCTGTAGGAAAGGACAGAACTAACTGCCCCTGTAGGTCTCCAAGACAGGAGCTCTTCATAGGAGTTGAAAGCCCTGTCTTTCTCCTGTGGAGTTGCTGGTGGCTTTGAACTACTGACTCTGCAGTTACCAGCCCAGTGTGTAACCACTAAGCCACCAAGGCTCCTCGCTTGAAAAACTAGATGTGCTGGTTGATCAAATCATTTAAAAATATACAGATTCAGCACCTTCTTTGTACAGAACATCATGCTGGGCATGAAGGACCCATAGGAATGAGACGCAGCGCCCCGGGTGCTCACAGGCTAGGGAGTGAGAGAAATGTGCAGTTCTGTAAGTTACAGCCCACTGGGATACACACTCAATTCAAGGTGGATGGCTGGGAACCAGAGGAGCAAACAGCTCCCTGGGGAGGTGCACGTGGGCTGGAGAAAGGCTGCAAACCTGTGGGAGACTTCAAGAGTCTTGAAGAAGTTTTGGGAGAGGACTTCTAGGGACAGCAGGGCAAAGGCACAGAAGGGGATACCTACAGAAGGCAGGGAGGAGCCCTGTTGGTGTAGTGGTTATGGCTGGGCTGCAATCTGCATAGTCAGCAGTTCGAAACCACCAGCTGCTCCTTGGGAGAAAGACTGGCTTTCGACTCCCCTAAACAGTCACGTCTTGGAAACCCACAGGGGCGTCACTAGGAGTCGTCGTCGACTTGATGGCAGTGCGTTTGGGTTTTGCTTCGAGAAGCCAGGCAGGATGTTGAGGTGAAGAGAGGACAGGGGTGGCTACTGGGGTGTTGGGGTGCGGGTCCAGCCCTGCTGGGGCCTGCAGAGCTCAGGGAGGGACCTGTCAGGAGGCCTCCTCTCCGTGGACCCAGACCCAGCAGAGGGAGGAGACCAGACAATTCCCGGGCTTCTCGTGTGAGGAGGGGGAGGGCGAGCCTAGGCTGGTGGTAGGACATCGAAGGTGAGCTTTATTGTTGGCTTTTAGCGGGTACCCATTGAGTAGGCCCCTGACCCACGGGGACTTCAAATAAAATGGGACCAAAGGCTATCTGGTCCTGTGCCATCCCCCCCACAATCGGTGGTGGATTGGGCTGTGGGGATGATTTCTGGAAGCGGATCACCAGGCCTTTCTTCCTACTCCATCTGTGGAAACCTGTTCAGCTTCATAGCCACACGTAGGCCTCCATTGGCAGACAGGTGCCTTGGCCGGGAACTCAACCTGGGTGTCCCACCTGGCCGGCAAGGATTCCACCATAGCATGCCTGCTCTTCCACCAGAAGAGCAGGCTTAGAAAAGCAACTTAACCCACCGCTGGCCAGTCCAAATACTACCTGTTCCGAGGCTCTGTTCTGGGGGTGCTTAGCTAGCATGAGCCAGCTCGTTGACTCCTTACAATACCATGAAGACTGCACCCCATTCTACAGGCTGGCACACACAGCTAGTGGGGGAGACCAGGCCTCTGATGCTGGCAGGCAGGCTAGGGCCCTCCTGGGGCTGGAGTGTGAGATGCCTGACCTCTAGTGGGGGCAGCAACCAAGGTGGGGGGTATAAGAAAGTGCTTCTTGCCCCTGACCCATCTGGCAAGCTGAGGGGGGGGGGCAGGGGCCCAAGATGGAGGTAACCCTTCTCTTGCCAGGGGCCCCCAGCCAGGTTACAGGTGTTTTTGACTTACCTGTGTCACCTCTCCCAGCCCCTTCTGTTCCATAGGCCACCTCGATGCACCCCAGAGTCTTGGCAGGGCTGTCCCACCCTGGCTTGACCCTAAGACCTGAGCCCAAACTACCCTCGTGACCCTGTCCCCTTTCCCACCCCACGCATGGCCTCAGTCCGGAGGGCTTGCCCTTGACCGCTAGCACCCTGCAACAGGCTTCCTTCCCACAGGGAGGAGGGGCGGGGCTCAGGCCACCTCCTCCCACCCGCAGAGGTGCTGATGTTCGAGACCGAGGACTTAGTGCTGCGCAAGAACGTTAAGAACGTGGTGCTGTGCCTGCTGGAGCTGGGCCGCCGCGCCTGGCGCTTCGGGGTCGCGGCGCCCACCCTGGTGCAGCTGGAGGAGGAGATCGACGCGGAGCTGCGGCGGGAGCTGGCGCTGCCCCCTCCGGACCCACCCCCGCCCGC